AAAGATGTTTGAAACTTCCCCTATTTATGGCACTTGCTCTGAGATATATGCAGATTAAATATTACCATCGTAGATGGCCAGGATAGTGTGCTATTTTGTTTGGTAGCAGTTTCCTTTAGCTTTATAACGTTGGTTCGACCTCGTTTTCGAAACTTGGTCGGATCGTCAGGGAGATATTGTTGAACGTACCCAGTCCTGTATACTCTGCCATAGCATTCATGATTTTCAACACCGGGCCTTCTAATTGGAGCATTACGAACAAACAACTTAGTCTTGTGTAACTCCACAATTTATCTTTTAAGCCATACCCCTGGGTTCTTTCAATTTCGTGGTTATACGATATATTAAGACGATTGTGATTAGATTGTGCTTTACAAATATACTATTTTATTAAGAATAACAGCATTAATTTAATAATAATGGAGTCCAATCATCTTTTGCACATGAAATTATTTATATCGCTTTTTCGGGTAGTCTGCATAATAGATTATAGAATGGTATTAGCTTGTGAAATTATATTTCTCTTCGAATATTACTTCCTGATTGCTGCCTAATGACTTTTAAATCGCTATTTCTTGCATGTTAATTTATCAGAGATCGAGTCTTGTAAGATTACAGGATAGAAGTAATCGGAGTTCTGACGACCTCTTATGTATGAGTCATTTACTTTCTTGACCTTCAAACAAATGAACTTCGGCAGATGGTATGCTGCTCCATGCTTATTTTTGACTCTTAATCTTAGCGGTTTTACTTCCTTATACATCTTCGGTAATTTGTTTGCCTTCGGTGGTATTGCGTCATTTTTAGTTAAATAGTTCATCATCAACCTACCGATTTCTCCGTCATGCATTTCCTTTAGCATATCCTTCAGTGTACCTTTATTTTAATGATTGAATCCTTCCTTATTATTTGATAAGTGTTCCTGTCGCCTAGGCTTCTTTCCATCATCACCATCGCTCCTTCCTTATTAGTCGGAGGAACTATTTGGTCATTCTTTTGTAATTTTTTGCTTATCCCAGTCAATTTACTCTTGTGTATTTGGTCTTTGATGTGGCAGCGTTTTGGGGATTATTTCCATTTCCACCTCTCGTTTTATCCCTTAAATATATTTGCCTGATATGTTAACTACTTCCATAAGAATATTATCTAGAATTTTTATTTCGTCACCTATGGAAAAATGTAACCCCTTCTTTAGGGGACCTATCGTTTTGGAAAAAAGAAGGTCTGTAGATAAGTTGACTACTTTATCTCCGTAGTCCTTGGGTGGAGTGGATGCTGTTACTACCGAAACATCATGATTTAATCGATTTGGCTGAATCATGCACTGCCTTATTCTTCCACATCTAAGCGATTTCTTGTCATTCCGGCTATTTAGCAAAGCTGGACTTCTGGTCAGTCATATCCTGGAGTTGCTAGAAATCCTCAGGTGTGAGAACCCTGCCTCTTAAATCTACGCTTAATATCTCTGAACTCAAATGGCTTATGTCTCTCACTCTCGTAACTTTCCTTTAGTAAAGGCGTCTAAAGTGCTTCATTAACTGTGCCCGAATGACACTTAGGTTGCATTGTCCGGGAGAGATACTGTAATGTTCGCAATAATTCAAAAAGGTCAAATGGTATCGTTAACTTATATTTATCTTCTTTGTTTGGCTGCAATCGATATATTGTTTGGCAATCTTCATAGTTTAATTCAAGCTATAAAAACAATGATAGTGTGGTTTTTAGTATTGTCACTGGTGCAGGAGTACACGTACAATAAAGGCATAAGACACTGTGGGCATCAATGTCTCGAGTAGGATAGATAGGGTATCTGTGTTCTAGGGAATTACTGAACCAGGGAGATAAGATGCCGATCATATGGAGAAAGAGGAAGACTCTGATAGAACCTATGGGAAGAGGATTGAGGACTAATAGGGTCGACTCAGATCAACATTCCCAGCGCAGAGGTGGAGGATGAGAAAGCGAGTGTCGGGTTTGGAGAGTTCTCTGCTCAAAAGGGCACACCACAACCACGTTTAAATAAGCAAGTAAGGGGTGGTACGCTGATTCTAAGATAGGTGAATACCCCAGAATAGTAGGTGAGTGATACCACAACTGTTTAGCAGACAATTGCTCAAAGGATCGAATTCACCTGTCTCTGACTAGTTATGATGTGTTGCTAAGACTGACTTATTTTTAAAATAAGTCCTTTTACAGAAATTAATGAATATGAAGGTTATTTAATAACTGCTAATTCAGTCTTCCTACAATGGGCTCTTTAAGCCATACTATTCCATTTATTCTATTTAGCCTTGTTTTATATAAAGTTATTGCATTCAGGGCGGATTGCTGTTTAGATCTCAACTTTGGCCCTTTGAATCTCTGGTGTCTGTGGCTCCTATGGTAACGTCGCCACAATACTCATAGCCCGTTATCGAATCCCTCAGGGGGTGCCGATCAGGCCTATGTGGATTTGAAACTGCATACACCATGGATGCAATGACCATTTAATAAGCAAGTGTAAGTTAGATTAAATGACGTGCTGTCTACCTATATTATTGTGAAAAAACTGATTAGTTCTTAAATCATCTTAATCGACCTAGAATGACTAAGTTTTTATACTATAGATTATTTGTGAGATAGATTAATAATTTGATACAATTATATGGGTCATGGCAATAGAGACATCTTAATTTCGTTCCTGTTTTTCAGGCAGTATTAATCATTGGATAACATCATTGTACAATCTTGTTGCTTGTGATCTGAAAGGGGTAAAATTTATCTTTTACATAAAACATAAATTTGCGGAAAATTGAGTTGCCTAAGCATGCTTATATACTAAAATGTAGGTAATAATGTTCATTACTTGATTTGACAGCACGACTATGAATGTAAACTGCTTGAATGACTAGTTATTGTCAGTTTACAGTCCAATTCCTTATGATAATCCGGGAATATAGCCATAATTCATGGATAGGGAAGACTTGACGGACAAGTATCTACAAAATCTATCAATTCCACTTTGATTCCTTTCTCTAATTTTAATTCTGTATCCTTGTAGCACTAATAACTTCTTTATCTATTACCTTTTTATCATAAAATTTACTCTCTACCATCACCTTCAATTTTCACTATTTCAGTCTGCCTTCATCGCAGCCTGTCAACAGGTGACCAGTGAATTAGCCGAGTCTGTTCGGCCATTATACACGCCTCGCGTTTGGGACGAGCTTGGTACTGGAGCATTTTTTGTCACATTTTGGTGCCTGCAGTCTGGTGATCTCATTGTTCCAGAAGCAGCCTACACGCGCCAGATCAACCTTCTCAAGAGTCAAATGGAGAAGCTAAAAGCAAATAATCAATGGGTAAGTCGTATTTCCTTTATGCTATTTTTCACACACTTAATTTGAATTTCGGTCATAGGCGAATATTTAAGAATTTTATCAGGATGTTTATTGGGGTTTCTGATCTTAATATCGCACGGCATAGATCCACATTGATAGTAACTGAGTTTTGGAGAAAATGAAGCGTTTGACGATTCACCTGCATTATTTTTACGCATATAGCCTCTTTCGTAATCAAATAAACTATAAAGCGTTTTTCGTAAATAAGTAGAGTTTTGAGACTACCATTAAATAAAGCGGTTTGATGCACTAGACCAGCGATTCCCTCATACCATCGCACAATAACTTATTCTACCGGCTTCTGTAGACATAGTGAACATCATGGTTGATAATTCTGTTGGTAAGCTGCTTTTAAAAGTGCCTTTGTTCAATAACACAATTAGTTGGCGAATACAAGAGATGGCGGAGGATATCAACAATCAATTAATTGAAAAAATTAAATAGTCTTATTTGGATTGCAGATAGATGAGGCTACGGATAATAATAAGGATGCTCCTTCGATATGCTATGTACGGTTTATAGATGGTAATAATATTAAATAAAACCTGTTCACTGCAGGAGCGAATTCTCAGGACCTGTTAAAGATTCTTGATACATTCATATCTGAAAATAATTTGAATTGGCCTAAATGCTCTGGTGTCTGTACTGATGGAGCTCGCTCCATGTCTGGCTGCTATGGAGGATTACAGACGCTTATTCGAACAAATCACCAAATGCACTGTGGACCCATTGCATTATTTATAGAGAAGTTCGTGTGTCAAAGCATCTGAGTTCTGTATTGAATCAGGTGTTAGAATGTGTGGTGAATGTGGTAAATTTTATAAAATCCTATCCATTGTAAGCAAGGTTTTTAAAAAAACTGTGTAAGGGTATGAGAACCGAACACTCGTATTTGTCGTACTATAACAGTTTACGATGGATTTCTCGTGGTAATGTTTTATCACATACCTTTGAATTTCGGTTAGAAATTTTTATTTTTCTAAAGAAAAAGGATACGAAGATGCAGAATATTTTGCTTATGCCGATTTTTTTAAATAAAACTGGCATATTTATGCGACATTTCT